ATCAAAGACCCCCGGCCACAGAGACTGGTGAAACGTTAGGAAGAACAACCTTCAGAACACGGCCAAAGAGCCCGAAAAACCCACAACAACCAAATGAAGCAGTGTGTGGCTCCCCAGATTTTCACATTCTAATTTCATCAGCTCCAGGCAACCGCAGCGTGTTCTTCACCCTGATAGAAAGATTGCTTAGAGTATTCAAAAAGGAAGACAGATAAGGCATCATCTCTCCCTGCCACCCCCGAATTAAGTTTGTTCTTACAGTGTGTATGGATGTTGAGAACCTCTGTTTGGGCTCAACCTCACTTGGATTCAATTTTCCCTAGATACGGGCACCTTCTGTTGCTTTCATAGAAGGCACACCTATCCAGTTTTCAATGACCCCCCCCCACTTCTCCCATAGCCCACCCCACTCAGCAGGAGCCGCTCATCCTCAAGGCCACATTTTGGAGCACTGGCCGATGGCTGCAGGGGAGTTAGGGGAAGAGGAGAGACAGGAAAGTCTTCCTCTGTGGGTGGATGCTTGGAACTAGCCATAGTCCAAGGGTTAGAATCTCTTCTGTTATTTATTCAATTAGTGATCTATCCTCAGGTCTCAAAGTAGGCAGTGAAGGGACATTTTAAAACACTAGGGAAAACTACTAAAGTGTCCTTTCCCCCCCCCCCCATCCCTGTTACACTACTTTCCCAAGCTTATGGGATACATGGCTTTTACCGTCTCTCCAGCCCTTGCTGCTGTATATAACTGGATTTCCTTTCAGAGATTTTGACCTAAGGTCACTCAAAAAAAAAGAGAGAGACGCCCACAGTACTTTAAACATCTTCCTGGGATGTTTACTTTGGAGTGTGTGGGGGGACTGCCCTGCTTTCCTTGCGGCAGCCTGCTTAGAATTTAAATCAAAAGATAAAGCACCTTTCTAAAGCCAAGCATAGGAAGTCCCCATTAACAGGCAGGGCAAACAGAGAATAATTGTTTTATTTTTCTTAAGAATCGGAGGTTAGCTTTCCAGATTTTTGTATAAAGTCCCATTGATTCCCAGGAGTGAGTTTTACATTATCTGCCTAGAAACAGCAATGGCTTCTTGATAATATTTCCTTCCTTCCTTCCTTCCTTCTCCTACAGGCTGATATGCATGAGGAGGCTTATGTAACACTGTTGTCATCACAATGGTTTTTCACAAAGAGGACTATAGTTTCCTAGTGCTTGTTAACTACATAGACCCTAGAGAGCTTCAAAAAGGAAAGGGGAGAGTTGAGAAGGGAGATTATGGAAAGGAAATGTAGGCAATAAAGTATGAGAATGAATTTACACGATGGAGCAGACCACAGGAGAGCCCTCAACATCATAGAAAGAGGGAATGTGTGAGGGGAATGGCGGAGTCTCCAGCAAGATTGGCGCCTGTAGCTTTAACACTTTAGACCTTTTTACTGGAACAAAGCCAAGATTTATATAAAACAGATTGTTCCCATGGTTCTAATTTCCCTCTTCTCCTCCTGCTTGTGCCAGTAGTGAAAACAGATTGTAGGTAGATTAGTGCAGTGGTTCTTAACGTGGGCAATAATGCCCCCCAGGGGGCGATTTCATTTTTCAGGGGGGCGGTAGAACGAAAAGGGGCAGTGTGGGGGCGGTGGAGCAGAAAGGGGGCGGTAAGGGGGCACTGGAGCGAGGCAAACCTGTGAAGATGGCTGCAGCCTTTTAACAATGTGCATGAATATATATTTTCCTCCAATCTTAATTTAGTTTCAGAGTTTTCATCTTGAAATTTTTAGTTCCTGCATTGCGGTTTGTTTTTATGCCCTTTTTATATTTCTTTTTGTGTCTTAGGGTCTCTTGGGTTCTCATCCTCACCCCGTGAAGTGCTGCCTTGCACCTGGGTGGGGAGGTAGGGTAGGTAGGTAGGTAGGTAGGTAGGTAAGATATCATCACCTCAGGGAGGGGGGCGATGATAACTTCCTCAGTGGCTCAAGGGGGCGTTTCTTTCAAAAAGGTTAAGAACCACTGGATTAGTGCATGTATGTGTGTGTTTTATTCGGCAAAGGGCCATTACTGCTGATGGGATGAGGTGGTTTTTGTCCAAAGGAATTACCCCCCTTGCAGTAACTAGGTTGTATTTGTGTTGTTATTGTTAAACAAAGAGAAAGCTACAAACCTCCATTGTAGCCTGCAGCTAAATCCTTAGCCCTAGTCAGATGTTCAGGATCAAGTTAACTGGGACATGTAAGGAAAGGAGCAGGGAAATCATGCCCTCTTTCATCTTTGGTCCTTCCATCTGAAAAGGAGAACCTCCACTATGTGAAGAGACTCTCTGCATTCCAGGGCCCTTTAAAAAGACATGTTTTGTGATTTTAGGGACAGATTGCCTGCAGAGAGGACTGATTTCAGACAGTTGCTCTCCACGTGAAGAGAGAACAACAGAGAACGTAGGGCTAGCCTACCCCCTTTCCTCATGGCTGCCCAGTGTTCTTGAGTAGCTCTGGAAAAGGGGACCTCATTGTGATATATTTAAGAAAATAAATGTTATTGTTGGTTTCTCTGCACCATTTAGAATAAGCTTAAAAATATTTGCCCTCAGTTCAGACTTTCTCTCCATCCTGCAGCAGTGGGAGACAGGTTGAATCACATCAGAGTGTTCTTATACACAAACAGGAGTAGGATTTTGACCCTGGCACCTCCAGGCAGGTGGGATCCACTGACCGTGGCTTTTTTGCTCTCCTCAAATATTCCTCCTCCCTTCTAATAGGCAGGAATTGTCTCTGCCTTTCATTTGCTTTGGACTTCCTAGGTTAATATGGAGTCCAGGGGCAGAACCCAGTAGGTCGCCTGTCAGGACCGCACTTCAGTCCTCACTCATCTCTCAGGGAAGGGTATTCAATTGTAGGCAGGCCATTTCTGCAAGAAGAGCACATGTCGATCACTCTGAAATTATGGGGTGGGCCATCTCATAACTACTGCTGAAGGAACCCTAGGAATGATGTTCAATGAACCTCACCGAGTCCTAAGGCGATCCTTTACTACTGTAGTTGAGAATTATACAGCTTTAGGAACGGAAGGTAAAGTGTTGTATACCTCCTGAGGGCCCAAGACCAGTAAGAAAAAGCAAACTCCTCCAAGAGCACTAGCATCTCTGCGAGTACGCAGCACTTCCATTTATTCTTCAGCCTCTAAGAAGAAGAAGAAAATGTACAGATTTAGTAAGGCAAATTTTTTTGTTTCAAGTTTCAGATTTATCAACTGGATCTTCTGCTTTTCTCTTTCCAGTTCATCCATCTCAGGAACCTGGCTGGTTGGAAGGAACCTTGAATGGGAAAACAGGGCTGATCCCTGAGAACTATGTGGAGTTCCTATAGCTATGGACACCTTGGTAAACAACACGGCTTGAGCTTTACATGGTATCCATGACAACTGCTGAGGAAAGTATTGTAGATCATGTGCTGTTTGCCACTGTGAAAAGCAAGGTGAAGGACTCCGATACCTGCTCAGATGAATGTTTGTGTAAATAGTAAAATGTATGTTTCTCCTTATGTAACATGTTGTTTGAGCAAAGACTCTGCAGAAAAGTGTGGAGAGGAAAGAGGTAGGATGAAGGGGGTTCCATGGTGTTTGTTCAACTCTTCTGTGAAAAGGGTAAGGAATTCATAGGATCTGTATAAATGCGGCTTTAAAATCAGCATGATGACATGGGATGCCATGCCCCATTTAAGTGGAATTACTCCCACAAAAATTTAAAGCAGTTACAGAACTCAACCCTTGGTTGGCCCATGTACTGACACACAGGGAAAACTAGAAGAACAAAGAATGAAGACTCCTAGGCTTTCTTCTAGAAAGCAAGAGTAAATATCTCATTTGCTAGGTGGAAAAAAAGGGCTCTGTAGATTTTCTCTCTGACAGGTGAAAGTAATGTTTATATACATTGAGCCACTAATGGCTTTCATCTCCAGAGATTAGCCAGCCTTGACAGGATTCAGTCCACATAAATTATTCCTGTAATGAGAATTGCTACATACTCCCCACCCCTACTCCCACCCCCCCAAAAAAACCCTGCATAACCATAGTGCTTTTAACTTTTTAATGGCCAGACAAGACTTTGCAATGGAATCTGAGTGTGGTCCACGGTGGTGGGCTCAGTGACTGTGTCTCCAAATAAATCATCAGCAATATGAAGAAAATGGTATTTTGGACCAAAGTTCATGCAGACGTTTTTTTCCTTAAGTAACAAAATAATTTAGAAGGAATCTGACTAAAATGTCTGCAGCCTCTTCAAACAGGTATTTCCTTCTTGGAGGTGAAGAAGTAACTTGTGTAAAGTAATAGCACATTGACGGAGCGACATGGTTTCTTTCCACCGTCACTTGCCAGCACAAGTTTGTAGAAACAAGCACTGGTTACCTGTTGCACACCTAGGCCTTTCATTTTCTTTTATCTTCTTGGATGTAAGCTATTTATGTCATTCACAAATGCTGCTTTTCTGATACAGTGTCTCTGGCTCACTTTGCAACCCGTAGTGGATGTGTTACGTAAAAGTACACAGTCAACTCTCTCCCAACCTGTGTCTTTATTGTGTAGCCAAGTGAAAATGCTGAAAACACACATACCCAAATCATTAGGATCTGTGGTCTTCATAGATGACAATGCCTTTCAGTTATGCCTTTCTCAGTGAAATATCTGTTTTGCGGCAGATTTACTCATGTCCTGCGCTGCTCTCAAAATGTTTCATAGACCATTCTGTAGAGCTGTAGATTTTATACTTAGGGGGAAGTGGCATGATTTGAAAGCCAAACTTCCCAGATATCCTCCTTGCATATTCTTTTTAATAGCAAGTTTTGACTGTCTTCACTGGGAATAAATAAGCTAGCCAATTTAGAGCAATAGCAGTGGAAACCTTCTGGCAGATTGTGCTCTGGGTTGTTGTTGTTGTTTTTCCTTTTCTTCCCTAGCTGCTGTACTATCTATCATATGTACATGGTCATCGACCATTGTTTTCTGCTTTAAATTGTGCTCGCTAATTTAATCTTAAAACCTTGAGTGGTCACATTGCTGTATGTTTTACTGACCATTTGTTTTAAAACTAAGATGTAAATATGATGATTTGAAATATTGTGAAGTAAAGGTTTTTTATATATTCTGATTTTTAACAGAAGTGTAATAAACTAGGTATTCGGTGGACATTCAAAACCCGTTTATAGGAGATTCAGAGGCAAGCACAAGTGGACACTCCACCATGATTCCTGCCCTCCTTCATTATGACACCTTTTCTGTAAGGCAGCTGGTGGTCGCTTTTGCACATCTTTAATTTTTTTGTTAATGAATACTTGTAAAGCGTTTCTGAAGGGGAATTGCAGGTGCCCGTTCCGATGTTGTTTGTTCATTCTAAAGCTGATGTTTACTGAAGAAACAATATACATATTGTATGCAATATTCATCTTGTTTTGATTTTTTTTTAAAAAAAAGAGAGAGAAGAAGATTGATTTGGCACTGTTGTTAAGAGTTTTTCAGATTAATGATAGAACCATACATTGCATCTCATCTCATGGTCTTCTTTGGGTGAGAGGGTTATGTGTTGATAAAATCACAACAAATGTATCAGAACACCTTGCTAGGCCTCAGTCTTGAAAACAAAAGCAACACGTTGTTCATGAGGCACATTTGAACCAGGAGAATTGAGAGCTGTGGCCTTACGCAATTGACTGTAAAACCATGAAGCCCAAAAATCCAACCTCAGATTCCACTGGCAGAGACTTAAGGGGAACCTGTCCATCAGATTCAGTGGCAAGGTACAAGAGAAATACCAAGCTCAGTAACAACTCAGCTGTGTCCTTTCAACTTACTGTCTGTGCCTTGGCAGGAATCCTAGAGAGAGAAGCAGATTCGGAATGGCAGTTCCTTCAGCATTGGGACTATAGTTAAGGGAAGTGACTTCGCTCCCTCACCACATTCATAACTAGAAATACAACTCTAAATGCTACTCTCTCCTCTTCCTTTCCCTCCCCAAAGTCTGATGATACATTATGCATTTATAAAAAGAGAATATTTGCCCCTTAACCCTAAGAGGGTGAGCTAGTGTTAGCAACGTCGAAGAATATTAGAAAAATCAGTTTTCAGTATTATGTGGGGATTGAAGGAGAGATTGGCTCACATTTTCAACAGACGCATAGCAAACCTGCACTTCCAAAAACATTGTTTTAGCGTGAAGTGGCTTGTGAAAATATGTGTGCTTTAAAAGGGGCATATACTGTATGTTTTTTTGTTTTTTTGTTTTTGACTTATATACCGCCCCATAGCGCTACAAGCACTCTCCGGGCGGTTTACAATTTAATTATACAGGCTACACATTGCCCCCCAGCAAGCTGGGTACTCATTTTACCGACCTCGGAAGGATAGAAGGCTGAGTCAACCTTGAGCCGGCTACCTGGGATTTGAACCCCAGGTCGTGAGCACAGTTTTAGCTGCAGTACAGCGTTTTAACCACTGCGCCACGTTGCTCATGTTCTCAATGTTCATGAAAATGGATACAGATTTTTGCAGAGAGAAAAAAATCCACTTGTGAAGTGGGATTGGTGGGAATAGGATGGATCAAATTAAAGGTTGGAAAATAAACCTTCCCCTCCTCCCCCAAACTTGACATCGGTCCCTCCTTTTATGGGAAGTGACTTAATGGAAGTCCCTTGTGAGGTGACGTTGATATGAAGCACTTGCCAAAGTTTGCCTACGATATGTTGCTGCACTAGCAACATGTAAATTTTTCTTTAAAAACAAGTTTTTATCTTATGCTATAAGTGCAGAAGATATAATCAAGGACTAATCAATATACCTGTCTCCTCAGTATAACTATACAGTACCTCCATTACAGTCACTTGTCTGGTTCAGATGTAATTTTAAGAGAACCCCAGCTTCTGCTGTGTCGCTCTCCTTCAGCAGGAATAACTGAATAAACACTTTTATTGTCACATGTGAGCTAAAAATTCTTGCTTCTTTCTCCCCAGATATCCCAATCATAAGCCAGTAACAAGCCATAGATTTTGACTGGTTTGTATGGAAAGAAATAGCCAAGAGTTCTCATGTAGCAATGACGAAAAAGAAAATGCACGCGAAAGCTCATTGTTCATTTCGCCACTCTCACTGCTGGCAGAGGCAAACGGGAGTGACCTAATAATACACTCTGGCATGCTCTTAGAACAAATCAAGCACACATCCCCCCCCCGACTTACCCTTGCTTTAAAACTGGGGCCATTCCGTTTCCATTCACCCATGTTAACCATACATTTTCAAAAGGAGCAACTTTTCTTTCTCTTCACTTTTGGATTCTCACTTTGAGCCCACAAGGCAGGATTGTTAGCACTTTTACCATCTCCAGTTTCAGAACGTGAGTATATTATCATCCAAGCTGCAGCCGTGTGTTTTTCTTGAGCCTGAGCAGATACCAAACCTAAAATCTAAAATAAATTCTGTTTTCTGCCAGATATAAAAGGTATCATTTGCCTTCTTTTTGCTTTCAACTGAGTCACCTGCAGGAAATAAACTTGCACAAACTGATTGGGCAAGGCCTAGCCATAGATAGGAAATGCACACGTTTTCACAAGAATACCATTGTTATGAAATCATCTGCCTTTTCTTGATGTTTCAAGGGCAGTATTATTTTGGCCTTTGGGGCACTGGGAAAATAATGCTTGGAAGATGACCACTCACTTTTCAGGGGTCAGCTGATTCTGCTCGTACTTTGGGGATAGGACTTCATTCAAAACAAAACACCTACATAGAGCTGTGATCTGTGGCTGGGACCACATTTCTTCATGATCCTGTAAAGTAATTCCTGCCCCACTACAGATGAAGCTGCCTTTGGGAAGAAGGGTTTCAATGGATTTCAGCCCCTTAAGACTTCTGTTTAATACTTTAATAAATAAGTCCTGGAAAAGAACACATTTTTCTCATTTCCTTTTCCAGTTCTACTAGTCTTTTTCTTCTTTATCTATTATTTATGATCTTTGTTATGTATGGTTTTATATTATTACTGTGGTATATATCCTGTTGTTAGCCGCTCAGAGTGGTATAAATATACCAGATGGGCGGGATATAAATCAAATAAATAAATAAATAATGGTTTCACTTTTTTTATCACATGGGTTTTGAACTTCTTCCATTACCTGGTTGAAGGCTTTGTTTCTGGTCTCGTCTGTGAGAGCATCCCCATGGCAAAGGTATGTGTGTGGGGAATACAAGAACTTGGCCCTTAATCCTATTCCAATGGGAACTGCTTTCTTGGAACCAGAAAGAATAGGAATTCATGGTAAGACATTTCCCTTTTCTCCATTAGTTTTTTATATTCTCACACGTGGATCTTAGTAGGCAAAAGTGCAGCTAGAAGCACACACTGGTTACACACCACAAGGGAGGGATCAGCATCTTCAGCCATTGGTGTCCTGATTTTTTTTAAAAAAAAGTTTGAACCAGCAACAGAAGTAAGATGGCTGGAAATATGACTGTCTGTGCCAATATTTCTCCAGGTAAAAAGTGTTATGGCTGCCTTGCCTGCTCACCTTTTCATGTGGATATATTTTTACAGATTAATGCTAGCATGATGCCAAAATCAACATGATTGCCTGTCCGGTCAGTAAGTTAGTGAGGATTTATTTTTGCAAGCTGAGTAGACATTTTGTCTAATTTGCAGAAGTTTTCCCCAATGCAAATATTTATGTGTAGCAGTATGATGAATGATAACTTTCCCTTTATTATCTTGCAACTTTAGATGAGGAGTATCCAAAGAAATTGAAACAGGCTAAGTAATACATTGGCGAGTAAGAACCGTTAATGTCTGCATCAAATAATTACAGCTATTTTTAACAACATAAGGAGCATAGCTCCTAATTAATTATGCTCTATAAATCCTTTTCTCCATTTCCATTAATATTAAAATAGCACATGTAATGACCTTAGTACATGCATTTTCCTGACGGAAAAGTGTAGTTTTTTGGCACATCAGTGGTAAGTCTCAGTCTGTTAAGATTCAGACTTGGTTTTCTTTAGTATGGACTTGAATTTCACTGCTTGTCAAGTTATATGCGTGTGAGTGCACGCCAGTACTAAAGAAAATTAGTGTACCTGATGCAACAGGTCAGTGGTTCCCAACCTTGGATAACCTGGACTGCAACTTCCAGAAGCTTTCATCACTAGCTGTGCTGGACTGAGTTTCTGGGAGTTGCAGTCCAATAACACTTGGGTTACCCAAGGTTGGGAACCACTGCTATGAGTCTTTTTGTTGAAGCAAAATAGATAGCATAACACGAGTGAACTGAAAGGGGAAAGGAGAACCTAACTAGCCCCGAGTAGACGTTGTCTAGAGGGGCGGGGTAAAAATTGAATAAATAAACAAACAAACAAACAAATA